TTTTGGGAGAAGAGAAACATGCTCACTGGCACAGCAGGGTATCAAGGCTTTTTCTGGAGGGTGATGAAATCCGACAACAGCTGAGCAGTAATCTCTGCTTGCCCTACATCATGGCCACAGAGCCCAGGGCCTAGGTCAGGTGGCTGAAGAGGACATGCGTCCTGCAGCCCAAAGCCGCCTCCTTAGTGACACGGGCTCTTGCTCTGGCATCCAGCACTAACTGCTATGATAGACAACTCTGGCAGAAGTGGAGTTGAAAGACAGTCTTTTAGAAATCCAGGAGACCCAAATGCCCTGGAGACCCAAGTCATATTCGCATCTGGGTTTGGTGGGGGAAACTGCCATAAAAATGTAGTGTTAGCTCAGTCCCCAGCTAATTTTAGAAAGAACCCAACAGGATGTCTAAGAGCTCATTGAAGGAGAAGGAGGATAGCCAAATACAAAGCCCTCATTGCAGCAAACTGCATGTTGGCATAGTAGGTAGAACATCATGATGTTGAGTGGTAGATGACTACTTTGTCAGGCCAGTGGACTACAAATATCAGTGCATTTGATTGTTTCTCATCCGAGCCCTAAGGAGGGAACTATGCTGCTTGCTTAATGAAAAGGTTAGATGCTTTTCAGCCATCCCAGTGTTAATAGGAGAGTCTACATCAAGTCAGCGCTTTTTCAAAATGGGGTACATAAGCTCTTAGCACACACATGTTTTCACTTTCACTTTTACATTTGTTTTCATGTTTATTGTTTAAAATGTAGCAGGACCAGCAGGTGACATGGTGGTTGGGGTGCTAGATTCCCACATGGCTGATCATGGTTCAGTTTCCAGGCCTGTTGGCTTGCTTTCTCACTTTCCCCCACCCCTCTCTCTGGTGAGCACATGTGCCCTATAGCAAATTAAAAAATAATAATGATAAATGAAATTAAATCATTCTTAACAAAAAACTAAAAAGAAAATAGTAAAAAAAAAAGTAACTAGCTCATTAAATCCATGATTTTGTAAACAGTGATTTACTCCATTTACAAGGCTAAGTTTAAAAACAAACAAATTTAAAGTTGACCCAAAGAAAAAAATGTTAAGTAAGAAATAGTACCCTGTGACGATAGATGAGACAAAAATCCTAAAGGTGGCTTACAAGCAGCAAAGTCTAAAAAAGTAACAGTTGTATGGTTATGGATGAGCTTTACTCTATAGTTGCATCCATATTCCGGAATTGTTCCTTAGAGGAAGTTGCTGGGTTCTCAGACAGCACCCTAGCCCCAGCCAGGTGTCTCCCACCTGTATCCTGACCCTCCCCAAGCTCTTGTAGAATATGAAGGGAACAGCACAAACTCAGGCTTCGCTTCTGCCAGACACCTTACAGAAGATGTGTATTTCCATTGAGTCATCCTTATAAATGACGGCTAAATGTTTCATTCCAATATACAAAGATGTGGTCTTAAGAAATAGAAGTATAGGAGCCAATAGGTGGCATGGTGGTTAAGGGACTCACACGTGGCCAACCGCTGTTTGAGTCCCAGACCTGGTAGCTTGCTTTCTCACTTTCTGTCCTTCTCTGTCTCTCTCTGGTGAACACACATGCTCTAAAGCAAACTTAAAGTAATAATAACAACAATAATAATAATAAATTAACAAATATTTTTTAAATAGAGGTATAATTCTTGGCCAGGAGGAAAAATACTGAGGGGAAAAAATAAAGGTGATAAAACTTAGAGTATGTGCCCCCTTCTCCCATATGACTTCCTTCCTATACTTAACTGCCGTACAATCTCTAAGGCGCGTCATGATTTATGGAGACTAGAAGTCCTGTGTAGTTGCGATGAGAGAAATTCTGCATAATGATGAAAAAGCACCTGGGATTTTATCCTAATGCCATTACTCATTAGCCATGTGGCCTGAGGCAAGTTGTTTTACCCACTGAGAACCTCTGTTTTCACCCCCGAAGTATGGGGATAGGAAGAGTGTTGCTGGTAGAGTTTTGCTAAGGATTACAGGAGACCACCTACATGATATGTGAATGTAAAATTCTGTATTGAAAGTGATGCCTATGGTAATATTCTTGATTTGATTGTCAAAAACAATAATAAGATGGAAAATAAAAGCACATGATGTGTCTGCACCGTGAATGGCCTAAAGTGAGAGCTCAGTAACTGGTAACAGCTATTAGTATCAGCATCAACAGCATGTTCTTGAAGAGGGTCTCAGAGATTTTAAGAAAGATAATTTGCAATCATAGATATCACATATCAGCCCCAGAAATCTGGGTAAGGATCTAAATAAATCGAATTACTGTATTGGGTTGGAACTAGCTCCTGAACCACTGTTAGAAGCAGCTTGGTGCATTTTAGCATGATTGCATGAGCAGGTTTCTCCATGTCGGAGAGTATAAAACTCTGATAAGGTGTCAGAAGACCTGAGTTCTAATGCTGCCTCTGAGGACTGAGTTGCCTGAAAATCCCTGAGCTTTGTCTACCTGGGACCAATACTGTTTGTCTCTTTACTAGCAGAGTTTTTATGAGGCTCCACCGTGTGCGTGATGGAAGTTGACACATTACACTCACGTAAGGTGGTGCTTTCGCTAACGCTCCCACCCTCAGGTTTCTGCCCCTTTCTTCTGGTTCCCTCCTTGACTCGTCGTGCCAGATATCGTGGACATTAAGCCAGCCAACATGGAGGAGCTCACGGAGGTGATCACAGCGGCAGAGTTCCACCCTCATCACTGCAACACCTTCGTGTACAGTAGCAGCAAAGGGACAATCCGGCTGTGCGATATGCGAGCATCGGCCCTGTGTGACAGGCACACCAAATGTGAGTAGCAACCCAGGCCATCATGGCGGAAGGGCCACTGGCCCCTGATCTGTGGGGAGAGGTGGAATAGGGCCTGGAAAGTTTTGACCTTCTTTCCCACACTGACACACTGACCGTGGGCCTAAACTGCAAGTGCTCCCAGCCTGGTGTTGCAGCCAGTAGCATACAGATCTGCAGTGCTGGAAGCCCATGGCCACCATGGGTTTGGACTCTCTCTCTCTCTCTTTGTCTCTCTTAGGCAAGTGCACATGACCTATAGCAAACTAAGAGGTGGTGGGGGGGAGATAATATACTTTACATTCTTTTATTTTTCCAGGCCAAGTCTTTAAACTTGGCATGCTTTTTATCCATATAGCACATCTCACTTCAGATTAGTCGGTCACATTTCTAGTGCTCAGAGCCATGTGTGGGCAGTGGTCACCATAGCAATGCAGATTTAGGACATTCCATCATGGCAGAAATTCTGCTAGAGACTGTCAATAGCTCCTTGAAAGCATGAACTATTCCATATTCATTGCTCTTCCCTCAGCCCTGAAAACAATGCCTGGTCCATGATAGCTATTTAGCATTAATAAATGTTTACTGATATTTGTTCTAGTGTTGATCTTGGGGTAGTATACTTACATAAGCAAGGGGAAAGTGTTCAGCACAGAAGGATCAGTATGTACAAAGACACTGAGTCATGAAAGAACATAAGGTGCTTATGAAACTGCAAGGCGCTGATAAGGCTGATACATAGGGAATGTCTTGGAGAAGGGAGGTGAAGTCGAGGAATGCCTGACCCTAGTCATAATAGCCCTGGTTTAAAAACTTGAATGTTGGAGCCAACAGGTGGCCTAGTGGTTAACCACTGCACTCCTATATATGACTGACCATGGTTTAAGTCCCAGACCCAGAGCCTTGAAACTCATGCCAAGCGCATGTGCATGCATGCCCAAATCCTGAGAGGAGAATGGAGGTGAAGGGATTGCAGTGTGGCCATCCCCCCAAGGGGTGACTTCTTACTTTCAGTCTACCTGGCAAGTGTACATGCCCTTTAGAAAAAAATTCTCTCAAAAAAATCTTGAATGTTTTTGTCCAAGTTGGTGAACAGCCACTAACGTAACCAGAGAAGTAATATGGTCAATGTTCGTTTTTAGAGAAGTTGCTTGGACAGAAGCAGAAGGATGGAGAATGAGCTCTGGCTGGGAAAATAAGTTGTGGCACTGAGTTACAAAGACACTATGATGTATATAAGAGTATCTTAACAGTGCACATTAAACTTTGGGCTACATTGTTCTTTGGGGAGGGGGGTAGGATGTTTAGCAGTGTCCTTGCCTAACCTACTAAATACTGATAGCACAAGCTCTGGCATCTAGCTGAGACAACCAAACCTGAAAACCAAATGACAGCCCAAACTGTCTCCAAACATGGGGAAATCTCCTCTGGTGGGGATGGGAAATGTTCCCAGTTGAGAGCCACTGATCTAGACATCCACCCAGTCTTTCTGCATGATACTCTTGTGTCTGTGATGTGCGTATTACTCTAAAGAACTCCGAGTGGTATAATGAAAAGGTAAGATGTATCTCCTCTATTCAGAGTTTAACATTAGCCTAGTGAGACAGGGTGTACCTGGCAAGCATTTCAGGAGCAACAAATATGGCAGTGGTGTTTAAATACCTAAATGAATAGTGGAAACCAATAGGGGTTAAGACCTTCAGAAGAAGTGGGACATCTGAAACAGACTTCATAGGAAAGGCTGAACAGAGTAGTCAACTACTGAAGGACAAGTAGGGTTTGGTAGGGGGGAAATAGGAAAAAGGGTAATGTTGGTAGACAAAATGGGTAAAATTCTGAAGTTAATGAGGTACACGGAACCTTTAAAGAGCCTTAAGTGTCAAACTTGGGGGGAAAGGTGTGTATGGAGTTAATGAGGTCAGATAAGATTGATGGTTTATCTCAGGTTGGCCCTTGGTGGTCAGAAAAGTTACATTCTCATGTATTCATTCATTCATTCCCCCATCTAGAGAGTATCTACTTTACACCCAGAGCCTGGCTCTTATGGTAGTCCCCCTAAACTTTCCCACCAAGTACAGCTCCCCTGGCCAAGACATGACCCCTGCCGTCATGGTCAAAGGACACTCAGAGGCAACCCAGCCTCTCCAACATGTCCTAGAAGGCCCTTGTTAGCAAAAGCAAAACAGCATGTGTCTGGCAGGGACCTGCATCCCTAGGGACGGTGCTAACCACCATGGATTGTCTGTGAGGTCTTATTTTTCTGCCTAAAATTGTATGTGAATGTTACATTTTACCCGCATAAGATGTCTATTTTCAGTTCAATTGAATTATTTCCATGCTACCCACAAATTTCAACCAAAAGAGATGCAGCATTCGTGTTATGACTCCCTGTACCCCCTGGTGTATCCCCCTCTCCCTCCCCCTCCCCCCCAGAACATGCACGTATGTCTCAGTGTGATAAGCAGCATCCCTAGTATGTAGGGAGTGACTTGGGATCATTTAATTGAAGAACAGAGGTCATAGAACTCGTGTTTGGCAGGTTAGCCAGTGGTGCTGTGCAGAGGCAGGAGAGTTAAGTAAATGGTTTCCATCGCAGTATAAGAAAACTTCATAACCTAGATAAGCATAGTGGCTATGGAAATCCTAAGGAAGGGAAAGGGGAGGAAAAGGAACATTTTCCTTTAAAGTAACTAATGCTCTTATGCCGTTAAAGGTTGGCATTGAGCACACACAGATGTAGCACCTGCTCGACGTCACTGCCCTCTAGATGAGAAACACTCTGAGGGTGAGAACGGAGTCCATTGTGCCCACATCCTATTGGGCCTGACCCATAAGCAGGTGGCCAGGAAATACTTAATAAATGCATGTATGGCTAAGGGCTGACATAAACGCAGGTAGGAATAAGGACTCGCAAGAAGCTGTACCGGGAGAGAGTGAAGGGTCGGGGCCCTGTTTGGAGGGTGCTGTGCGTGAGGTGGCATGAGTTGTCTCGGTTGGCAGAATCAGGCTGGAAGGGCATTGGCCCAGGGTGGATGCCAGAGATGGTACAAGAAGCCCCAGCATCCTCATATCTCTACATGGTGGACACCAGCCTGGGCCTTGAAGTTAAGACAGACCCACACACATTCCGGATATTGAGAATAAGCTAACTAGGAGGCTGGATAAACCCTGAACTCAAAATGGAAAAAAAGGCATTTTTCTTTTTCTTTTTCTTTTGTTTTTTTTTTCAGCTTTCTGTTGGGAAGAGTTTTATGTTGTTTTAAAGATTTTGAATAACTTAACCTGATGGATGGGCTCATTTAATGTTCCTTTTCTTCCATTCTTTTTATCCCTCATTTTTTATTATTTATACATTTAATCACTACACATCATTTAGATTGTAAAGAGGCTTTACCCAGCATGATATACACCTCAGTCCAGCCCAGTTGAGAATACAATACACACCCTCATAAACAGATAATAAACCATATCTGTATCCCACAAATGTCTTCTCACTATATTTTTCCCCAAATTAC